AGCCTCCATTTTTGATTGCACCTCATTAATAGCTTTTTTTATTTCAACTTGATTAGATTTTAGTTCTTTTATTTCTCCAGAAAGGGCTTTTATATCTCCCGAGAGGGTTTCTCTAATATCTTCCATGCCTTTTTCGAGCCCGGCTAGAACCTTGAGAATTGTCATTCTGAACTCTAGATCTGACATATTACCAATGTCTGTATTGATTAGGTCCCTAGCCTTTGGTACTGCCTCTTGTTCTTTTTTTTGTGGTGAATTTTTCCTCCTTGTCATTTTGTCCAGATAAGAGTATATGAAGGAACAAGTAAAATACTAAAAGGGTGGCAACAACCCCAGGAAAATATTCTTTAGCCAAATCAGAAGAGATCCCAAATCGTGAGGGGCGGGGGAAGGGGATATAAAGAGATTCAGAAAGAAAAAAAGAAAAGAAAAAAAAAAGAAAAAGAAAAAAGAAATAAAAAAAGAAAACCAATAATGAAAAAATATAAAAAGGAAAAAAAATATATATATATATTAGATGAACTAGTTAAAATAACGTTAAAAAAGAAAAGGGTAAAAGTTAAAAAAATTTAGAAGAAGAGAAAAAAAATTGAAAAAGAAAAAAAATTAAATTAACTGCAAGGCTAAAGAATCATGGGGAGAAAGCCATGAGTTCCGTGCTTTGCTTTCTCCTCCTCTGGAATTCCGCTGCTCTCCTTGGTGTTGAAACTGCTCCTTGGTAGGTGAACTTGGTCCTGGCTGGGTTTCTTGTTGATCTTCTGGGGGAGGGGCCTGTTGTAGTGATTCTCAAGTGTCTTTGCCCCAGGCGGAGTTGAACCGCCCTTACCAGGGGCCGGGCTGAGTAATCCGCTCGGGTTTGCTTTCGGGAGCTTTTGTTCCCTGAGCGCTTTCCGTAGAGTCCGGAGGACGGCACGAAGATGGCGACCTCCCAGTCTCCAGCCCGGAGGAGCCAAGAGCCCGGGGCCCCACTCCTCAGTGCGCCCTCAGAGAACAGCGCCCAATTACTCCCGTCACCCTGGCCTCCGGCGGCGCTCCGAGCTGACCGAGCCTGAGACCGGTTCAAGGTAAACCCGAGCTTAGAGCTCACTCCTCGGCTCTGTCTCTGTAGCCGGCTTCCCCGTTCTAATACCTGTAAGCTCTGCGACACTCAGACACCCCCGATCCTTCTGTGACCCTGCGGGACCTGAGGCCACGCTGACCCCGCGTGCGCTTTACCCCGGTTAAGCCTCTGGAGCGATGTCCCTCAGCGGAACAGACTTTTAAAAGTCCTGATTTTGTGCTCCGTTGCTCCGCCGCTTGCCGGGAGCCGGCCCCACCCCCCGCGGTCTATCTTCCCGTCGCTTTGGATTCACTTCTCCGCCAGTCCTACCTTTCAGAAAGTGGTTGATTTTCTGTTTCTAGAATTGCTGTTCTTCTTCTCTTCGATCTCCCATTGGATTTGTAGGTGTTTGCAATCGTTAGATAAGCTATCTAGCTGATCTCCTGCTACCTGAAGTAGTCTCAGCCTGCTACTTCTCCGCCATCTTGACTCCTCCCCCGTTGATGCAAAATTCTTAACAAAATACTACTAAACCAAATTCAGCAGCATATTAAAAAGACTATACTTCTATACTATAATTTATTTCTGAAATGTAAGAATAGTTCAACCTACAAAAGTAAATTGATGTAATACACCACATTAACTGAATAAAGGACAGAAACTATATATTTCTCAATTGATACAGAAAAGGCATTTAGCAAAATTCAATACCCTTTCATGATAGAAACTCGATAAATTAACTCTAGAAGGAAACTACCTTGACCTAAAAAGACCATACTAAAATTATGATAAGCCCACAGCTAACATCATAGTCAATAGTGAAAAACTGAAAGCTTTTCCTCTATAATCACGAACAAGACAAAGATGCCCTCTTTCTCTATTTCTTTTCAACATAGCATTGGAAATCCCAGCCAGCACAATTAGGAAATAAAATAAATAAAAGGCATCCAAATCAGAAACAGACTCTTAATTATAGAGAAGAAACTGATGATTGCCAGAGGAGAGGTAGATGGGGGGATAGGTAAAATAGGTGATGGGGATTAAGGAATGTGCTTGCTGTGATGAGCACTGGGTGTTGTGTGCAAGTGTTGAATCACTGTGTAGTATACCTGAAACATATTACACTGTATGTTAACTAACTTGAATTTAAATAAAAACTTTTAAAAAATTCAATGAACAATTTGTAAAGAAAATTTTAAAAATAATTCCATTTACAAGAGCATCAGAAAAATTAAAAATCTTAGGAATAAACCTGAAGTAAAAGACTTGTACACTGAAAAATAGAAAACACTGCTGAAAGAAAACAAACACAGTACTAAGTGAAAAAAAGCATCCCTTTTGTTCATGGATTGTAGGATTTATTTTTAAAATGCCCATACATCCCAAAGGAATCTATAGATTCAATGTAATTCTTATCACAATCCCAATGACATATTTTACAGAAAGAGAAAAACCCATCCTAAAATTCATTTGGAATCTCAAAGAGACCCTGAAGAATCAAATAATTTTGATAAAGAATAAACCTGAAGGACTCACACTTCCTCACTTCAAAACTTACTCCAAAGCTACAGCAATCAGAACACTATAGTACTGGCATAAAAACAGACATACAGACTGATGGAATAAAATAGAGCAGAAATAAACCTTTACATATATGGCCAAATGATTATCAACAAGGGTACCAAGTCCATTTGGAGAGGAAAAGGATAATCTTTTCAACAACTGGTGCTTCGAAAACTGGATATCTATATTTTTAAAAATGAAGTTGGACCCTTAACTTGTACTATATATGAAAATTAACTCAAAATGGATCAAAGACCTAAATGTAAGACTTAAACTACAAAAGTTTAGGGAGAAAAAAGGGGAAAAAGCTTCATGACATTGAATTTGGCAATGTTTACTTGGAGAGGATACCAGAAGTATAGGCAACAAAAGTAAAAATAAATTGGACTGCATCAAAATTTAAAACTTTTATTCATGAAAGGACACTATCAACAGAATTAAAAGGCAGCCTATGAAATGGGAGAAAATACCTGAAAATCATATGTCTGATAAGGGATTAATAATATCAATATAAAGTACTCCTAAAACTCAACAACAAAAATCAAACAACCTGATTCAAAAATGGGCAAAGGGATGATATTTCACCAATGAAGATAAACAAATGGCCAATAAGGACATGAAAATATGTTCAGCATCACTGATAATTATAGAAATGCAAATCAAGACAGTAACGAGATATCAACTCACACCCATTAGGATGGCTCTAATTAAAAAAAAAAAGAAAATGACAAGTGTTGGCAAAGTTGTGGAAAAATTGGAGCACTGTTGGTAGGACTGTAAAATGGTGCAACCACAAAGAAGACAACATGGTGGTTCATTAATTAAAAACAGTTGGGGCATCTGTCTGGCTCAGTCAAAGGAGCATGCGACTCTTTATCTGGGAGTCACGAGTTTGAGCCCTACACTGGGTCTAGAGATTACTTAAATAAAACTTAACTAACTAAAGAAATTAATTTAAGAAATTAAAAACAGAACTTAACGTATGATCCAGCAACCCCTCTTACAGGTATAAATCCAAAGGAAGTATAATCAGGGTATCAGAAAGATATCTGCACACCCATCTTTATAACAGAATTATTAACGATAGCCAGAAGCTGGAAGCAATCCAAATTTCCATGCATGGACAAATGGATAAGCAAAATGTGGTATATACATATGGTGGAATATCATTCAGCCTTTAAAAAGGAGGGAAATCCTAAAACATGGATAAACCATGAAGACATTCTGCAGAGGGAAATATGCCAGTCACATAAATGCAAATACTACATGATGCCACTTAAGTGAAGTATCCAAAGTAGTCAGATTTATAGAAACAGAAAGCAAAATGGTGGTTACCAGGGGCTAGAGGAAGGGAAAGAGAAATAAATGGGGAGCTGTTTAATGGGTGTACAGTGTCAATTTTATAAGCAGAAAAAAATTTTGGAGATCTTTTGCACAATAAGATGAGTATACTTAATACTACTGAACTGCACACTTTAAAAATGGTTAACAGGGTAAACACACACACACACACACACACACACACACATAGTGTGGTCCTAAGAGTTTTTAGCCTTCAATAAAACTTATGTTTCTTCAAATATATTTTTCACAACTTCAACATGTTTCACAATTTTTCTAAATAATGCCCTAAGCTGCCAATTTTAAAAAAGTTTGCTCTGTACATCGGTATGATGTGGGAATAGCAAACTCTCTACATACTTTAAAATTCCAATTAAGATGAGTAAATACTGGAAAAAATATATTCCTGTAAAAGATAGTTTCCTTTTTTACTTTCAAATTGTGTTCTATATGTGGGATATAAAATAATTTACTTCTCTTCATTTTCCAATATAATAAAGTATTCCAGTAGTTGGTTAACAACAACAAAAAATATTTGATTAATAAAATGCTGGATAAAACACTATGAATGGGGGTGGCGGGTGGCTCAGTCATTAAGCATCTGTCTTTGGCTCAGGTCATGATCCCCGGGTCCTGGGATTGAGTCCTGTGTCTGGCTCCCTGCTCTGCAGGAAGCCTGTTTCTCCCTCTTGCACTCCCCCTGCTTGTGTTCCCTCTCTCACTGTCTTTTTCTCTGTCAAATAAATAAATAAAATCTTAAAAAGAAAAGAAAAGAAAAGAAAAAACTATGGGGAAGTTATGAATGGATTTTTAAATTTAAAATGTGAACTTAAAAACACTAATTATTCAGTTACCAAATTCTCCTGGTTGAGCTAAGTGTCAGAATGACAGAAGTCATACAAGGACTAGGACTAACAGATTTACACTATATAGTTAACTGACAAATTTTTAAAAAGTTTCATCCCGCTATGCAGAAGTTTTCCTGTAATCATACTTATAAAGGAGTTAACAGAAATTTTATTTGATTTTGATTCATATCTCAATCATTTTTTAACAGAACTCCTGGGGCCTTTGGACAGAGGAGATATGCTAAATGAAGCTTTTGTTGGCCTGTCTTTAGCTTCTCAAGGAGAAGTCACATTTCCAGATAACCTTCCTCCCTTTTGTTCAATCCAGAAACATATTATTCAACAAAGAACACTGAATGTCTTCTCTAATAGGTAAGATACATTGAACTGAGAAAAGTGCTCCACAAAATATTTAGTATTAAACAACTTAAATATTCCCTGTTTAAAAGCAAATTAATACTTAAGCAAGAATATTTCAAAATGTCAAAGAAAAAAATGTGCGTTTTCTCATGATGATGACTTTGCAGTAGTTTGGTCATGTGAGAGCAGGTATGATGGAGGAAGAATTCAATGTAAACAGAGTATTGTTAGAGTGAATGTTATTCCAGGCCAAGATGAACGTGAAATTACTATAACATATCAAAGTCTATTTTTATTCTGTTGTTAAATTTTAGAATTGCTAGATTATTAGATTAAAATATTAATTTTAGTATATTTAGGTTGTAATTCATATGATCATAATTATGCAACTTTGCCATTAGTTCCTGAAATCTGATAAATGATAATTTCATATCTATCTAGCTAAATATATAGGTTGTTAAGAAAAGCAGGATAAATGTGAAATAAAAATACTAGACAAAGTAATATTATTTATAATGGTAATTATGTTAGTTACCGTTATAATTTGCTCTGAAGCAAAGGTCAGGAAACTTTTTGTGTAAAAAGCACCAGATATTGGCTCTGTGGATCATATAGACTTTATCACAATACTCAACTCTGCCACTGTGGTATGAAAGCAGCCACAGAAAATACATAAATAAATGAGAGTGGCTTTGTTATAATAAAACTTTATTTACAAAAACAGGCAGTGGCCAGGATTTGGCCCCTGTTCTGCAGTTTACATATCTGCTTTTAGGGAACCCAACTACATGCAATAATTGTGAAAAGGCCATATTTTTTGTATATATCATAGGAATTTCATATCAAGTATACATATATACTTATAATATCCTTGAGGAAAATGCCTTAAACTACATAGTTTGGTTAAAGGTAAATAAAGGAGCAGAATTTCCAGGTATGGCAGCATTTAGAGGTAAGTAAATCCTCTCCCCAGACAACAGTTATAAACTGGACAAAAATTACCATTTCAGAGCTCTGTAAATCAAATAGGGGCAAACAACAGTTTGATAAGCATTTATTCATGAAAAAATGCTGAACTTCTAGCAATAAAGGGGAAATCTGATGTTCTGGGGCTGCTCCCATCCTTTCTTGACCCCCAAGCTAGTTCAACCCTCTAGTTCTACTAGGGTAGGATGGGCTGTGAAAAACAACAGCTGACTTGATTTGGAGTTTAGAGTGGAAGAACCCTGCCTGCAGCATTATCAATAAAAACAGCAAACTAACTGTAAGTAAAAGTAACAAATCTGATAGAAAATGAACCTGGAAAGCCACAGCTCTACTAGCCTGCTTAGGTCAAGTGACAGAATGAGGAACTAGGCAAAAAAAATTTAACAGGAAGATCCTGGAATAAGAGAATCAAAGAGGGTCTAATTAAGCTCCCTACACATTCCTGATAAGAGTTGTATGACCTTTTATCTTGCAGGACCCTAAATTTTCCCCTTTTGCTTCTTTGTTCCTTCACATCCAACTGCCAGAAGGTGCCTCTCCCTTTTTTCCCTTCTTCATCCATCCATCTCCCCACCACAGAAGCTATGGATTTAAAAAACTATCCCTTCACACTTCATGGTATAGTTCATGCTCTCATCTACAAGAACACCAGGAAGCAGACATGCACTGGGATTTGGCATTTTTTCCATCTTATTTACAATTGTCTGGAAGTTCTCTGTCAAGTCATGCTAAAAGTGGGGCTTTCATGTAGTTTCTTTTCTTATGTTCTACATCATTTATAGAGGAAATACTGGGAAGTAGAAAGGAAGATAGCCACTATTATCTTCAACTACCTGGAAGCCTACTTCTTTATATATGTTTTTAAAAATGATTTCACTGGGGTATAATTTACATGCACCATAAAATTTGCCCCTTGTAAGTATACAATTCAGTGATATTTGCTGAATTTATAAAGTTATGCAACTACCACCACAGTGTTTTTAGAACATTTCCATTGCCGCAGAGTTCCCCTGTGCCAACTTACAATGCATTCCCATTCCTACCTCCAGCCTGAACCAGTCACTGGTCTGCTTTCTGCCTCTAGAGGAATTTGATATAAATGAAGTCTTATAGTCTGGAAACTTCATATAAATGAGTTCAGACAATATGTTGTCTTTTGCATGAGACTACTTTCACTTAGCATTATGGTTTCTTAGGCTCATACATGTTGTAGCATATAGTTTATGCCTTTTCCATTTCTAAATAGTATTCCATTGTAGGGATCTACCACATTTTGTTATCTACTCACCAGCTGCTGAATATTTTTAATTACTTTCAGATTTGGGCTATTATGAATAATATTGTTATAAATAGTCACATTTCAGTCTTCAAGGGGACATAATGTTTTCATTCCCCATGGGTAGATATCTAGGAGTGGAATTGCTGGATCATATTTTAAGTTTATATTTATCTTGTTAGTTTTTAGAAACTACCAAATTGTTTTCCAAAGTGACAATAACATTTTATGTACCCATCAGCAATGTACGGGGGCTCCAGTTTCTCCATATCTTCACCTGTGGCTGGTACTGTCTTTTTTATTATAATCATTCTACTGGTATAGAGTATCTCATTATGATTTTAATTTTCATTTTCCTAATGATTAATGATATTGAGCATTTTTTGTGATTACTAGCCACTAGTGTATCTTCCTTGGTGAAACATCTATTCAAAATTTGTTCATTTTAAATTTTTTTTAATTTTATTTTTATTTATTTATTTATTTATTTATTTATTTGACAGACAGAGATCACAAGTAGGCAGAGACACAGGCAGAGAGGGAGAGGAGGAAGCAGGCTCCTGCTTCCTGAGCAGAGAGCCCAATGTGGGACATGATCCCAGGACTCTGGGATCATGACCTGAGCCAAAGACAGAGGCTTTAACCCACTGAGCCACCCAGGCACCCCAAAATTTGTTCATTTTTAAAATAAGTTCTCTTATTATTGAATTATAAGACCTCTTTATATATTCTTAATTGTTAAGTCCTTAATCAAATAAATGATTTGCAAATATTTTCTCCCAGTTTGTGGCTTGCCCTTTCATTTTCCTAATCATGTCTTTTGAAGTGCAAAAGTTTCAAATTTTGGTAAAACCCAGTGTAGTTATAATTTCTTTTATTGATTATGCTTTTGTTTTGTATAGAGGAAGTTTTTTTCTAACTTAAAAAATTTTCTAACTTACAAAATTTTCTCTTATGTTTTCTTCTGGAAGTTTTATAGTTTTAGCTCTTACACTCAATTCCATTTTGAGTTAATTTTTATGTATGATGTGATATAAAGTGTCTAAGTTCATTATTTTGTACATGAAAATTCAGTTACCTTTATACGTTTGTCAAAAATCAGTTGGCCGTAGGTGTAAAGATTTATTTCTGGATTTGGCATTCTGTTCCAGTGGTCTCTATCTACCTTTACAGAACAAAGTGCCAGACTTAGTCATACTGAGGGCTCCACTGAACTAGAATCTCCCAAAATGCATTCCAATACCACAAAAATAAGCAGGAAAAAGATGAACAGTTCTATACAGTTACTTCAAAGAAACAGAAAATGACACCAACATATATCAATTGAAAAAAATTCTCACCACCCCCCCCGACAAAACCACCATGAAGTAGGAGAAAACTATAACAACACTCCATGCAAAATTAAATATATTCAAACAAGCAGCTGGGTACATGGAAACCCACTCTGAATTAGAAGGACAAAAACAAAGAGGAAGAGGTGGGGGTGGGAAAGGAGGAAGTTCATTGCATTCAAGAAAGAAAGAGAAGAAAAATATCTTAAAAATGAAATATTATAAGGCACCCAAATGGGAATAAATTCAAATTAAAATTTAATAAAAGGCACTGAAAATGGCAGAAAACAAGACAATGAAAAGGAGATAAAGAAAAAAAGACAAGGGAGAAAGTAATGGAAAGAGAAATAAGGCGAAGAAGTAAAGAGCATCGTACAATTTGATTCACTGGAATCAGAATTAATATTTAAAACTATAATCCAGGGAAATGTTTCAGAAAGAAATATTTTTAAAAAGATTTGGTTTACATATCAAAAGATTAAACCAGGAGGTCCCTGGGTGGTGGTTCAGTCGGTTAAGCATCTGCCTTCAGCTCAGGTCATGAACCAGGGTCCTGGGATGGAACCCCACATCAGGCTCCCTGCTCAGCGGGGAGTCTGCTTCTCCCTCTCCCTCTGCCCTCCCTCCCACTCATGCTCTCTCTCTCTCAAATAAATAAAATTTTAAAAAACAAAAATTATACCAAGTGCCTGAGATAAACTGGTATAAAAATCAGTTTGAAGATATATCTTAACAAAATTCTTAGATTTCAATGATTAGTTTTAAAAATCTGCAAGGCCTCCTTGTAGAAAGATCAAATAACTTAACAAATGCGAAGAATTAATTAAGCATCACCCTTTTCAAAAATAAAATACAAGGTAAGGCAAAAGTAGAGCAAGAGTTTTTTAAAACGCAATGAAAAGAATTGTAAACCAATGATTTCATATCTATCCAGGCTCTCCTTCAAGTATCAAGGCTAAAGAAAAATAATTTCCATGAACCCTTCTTGAGAACATACTAGAGGAAAAGCTTCATCCAACCATGAGATAACTGGAAAAACTTCAGCAAAAGAACTAATTCTGAACATTTTAATACATTTAAATGTAGACAGAAGACCAGAACAAGGGGCACCTGGGTGGCTCACTCAGTTGAGCAACACTCTTGGTTTTTGCTCAGGTCATAACCTCAGGGTCCTGGGATCCAGCCCCACAATGGGCTCCACAGTGGGTATGGAGTCTGCTTGAGGATTTTTTCTCTCCCTTCCCCCTCCCCCTACTCACACACACATCTGTGCATGCACTCAAATAAAAAAATAAATCTTTAAAAAAAACGGGAAGTAGAAAGGTGAATGTGGAAGACTCATGTACAGGTATTAAATAGAAATGATACAACTAAAAAAAATGGGAGGGGAACAAAGTGAAAGAGAAAAGTAGACTAAG